ATTTGTATGTGGAGGATCAAAATCGTCGTAAAAAGGAAACAGTCGAAGAAGAGAGACTGGCAACCGTCAAAAGGAACCATACGAAGCATGTATTGTATAAGAATAAGCATGCCAGACAGCAGGTCTGAGAGCCTACATAGAATTTTTTTGAGCTTCAGAGAGGGTCTGAGATCTACTGAGAAATGTGTTGAGTTTCAGAATAGTTCGTAGTTAAAAGTAATTAATAGAAATTCATAAAAACAAAATCACAAGAGAGGTCGTAGATCTTCAGATCAATGTTCAAAGAAATTTTCAAAACTTCAAGCAAGCAAAAATAATTTCAAATCAATTTGTAAAACTATAAGCGAAATTTTGCAAATCTTCAGGGAAATTCGCATAACTTTAGACAAGTCCAAGAATCTACAGTGAAATATAAAGTATTTCACATAAGTTTGGAGATCCTCGAAACAATATTCAACATCAGAAAAGTTCGTATATCTTCAGAACAAAGCTACAGAACTTTGAAAAAAATTACAGGACTTCTGAAAAAATCACAAGAATCTCAGAAATGTTATTAGATCTTCAGTAAAAATTGCAGAACTTCAGGGAAGTTCTGCAATTTAAAAAAAAAATATTTACACGATTTCAGGAAAATTTGTAGATTCTGAGAGAGACATTTAAAACTTCAAGGAAGCTCAAATATTTTCAGATAAATTTTGACATCTTTAGGTAATTTAGAAGATCTTCAAGGAAATTTTCAGATCTTCAGGCCGAGAGCCTACAGAGGAATTTACAAAACATCAGAGAAGTTTGCAGATCTACTGAGAAATTTATTGAGCCTCAAGGTTTTTTTTTTTGTAGATCCTGGGAATAGAGCAGAAATTTGACAGAAAGTTTCACAGTTTCAGACAAATGTGAGATCTTCAGAAAAATTCGTTAAATGTCAGAAAAGCACCTCAATTCCAAAAACAAATCGCAGCGAAGTACAAAAGTACAAGATTTTGCAGAACTCCATGGAAGTCGGGAATAGATAGATCTAAAGAACTTCCAGAGAAATCCGTAGACCTTAAGAGAAGTCCGTAGACCTTAAGAGAAGTCTGTAGAACGTCAGAAAGTTCGTACGTTTTTAGACAAATTTGCAAAACTTCAGCAAAACACACAGATCGGGAAAGTTCGCCGATCTTTAGATCAAGAATCCACAAAGAAATGTAAAGAACTTTAGAAAAGTTCAGAGATCTACTGTGAAATTTATTGAACTTCAGCGCAGTTCATAGATCTTTAGAGCAGAAATGCAGTACTTTAGAAAACATTACAGAATTTGAAATAAATTTTAGGAACTTCAGACAATTCAGAGGGTAGATCGTAAATCTACTAAAAAATTAGCAGATGTTTAAATAAATTTTCAGAATTTTACTGCGGTTCTTGGATTTTGAGAGACATTCACAGAACTTCAGGTATGTTCGCTGATCTTTAGAGATATTTGCGCAGCTTGAGAAAAATTAGAAAAACTTCAGAATACTTCCTAAAACTTCCGGAAAGCTCAAAAATTTCTAGATAATCTTTTAATTCTTTAGAAAGTTGTATAGATGTTCAGAGATATTTTCAGATATTTATTGAATCATGAAAATCTGCAGAAAAAATTACAGGACTTTCGAGAAGTTAGTAGATTATTAGAAATTTTGTGAACATCAGAGATAATTGTCGATCTTCAAGGATCTTAAATCTTCAGGGATTCAGAAACTTTGTAGATTCTTAGGAAAATTTGCAGAACTTCTGAAGAACACACAGAACTTCAAAGAAATCTGTAGAACTACCGAGAAATTTGCAGATCATCAGGAAAGATTGTTGATCTTTAAAGAAATTTTACCGGAGAACAGAAACAAAACTTCAGGGACGTCAAAAGGTTTGAAGACCTTGCAGAATTGCGTTGTTAACAGAAATTTTCAGAACTCAAGGAATCATGTAGATCTAGTGAGAACTTTTCCCACTAGCTTGTCTAAAGTTGGTATCGACATCCTGGCGAAGTTTTGAAATCCATTTTCATCTTCATATCGCAGCTCTTGAAGGACAAGATGAGTCAGATCCCTGCCGGTGTTCCTCCTGAGCAACCATTTCCTACTCCACAAAGTTCACCTTCTCCTTCTCATTTTATTTAAAATAATAAAAGCAAATACGTCTGCCGAAACAAGAGCAATTTTCCGGTAATTCATGATGGAAGTATTTACTTTTGATTCCTGATACAGTTTTGTTTTGAAATCTACATTGACAGTTTTTTTGACATATGCAGGCAGTGTGAACACCAGCAAACACCCCCCGTTCGACAAAGTGTGTCGAAAGTAAATTTGAGCAGATTTTTCCATTATGGCGGCGGTCAAAATCAGACCAAGAAATCAGATAGTCTAAACGGACCTTAAGAGATTTTAAGACATGTGAAACCATGATTTATTCTGTCTTGATCTTCCAAACAGAGTTGAACTCAAACATATTATTAAAATGATATTTTGTTTTTGAAAGCATATTGTTATCAAATTTTGATATATCGTTTTATCGAATAGTATAGATAGGTTTCTTACTTGTATTTATATTCTTGAATTAAAAAATACTACACAAATACCAAAAAAGAATGTAATATTGATTGACCTAATGCATGCTACTGTATGAATAACTAATGTGATTGCAAAAACCAAATACAATATTACACCCATGGATATAATTTATTTTCGCAAATTATGTGTAGGATAAATGCACCAATAGTGGAGGTACTTTAATGCAATGTGTTCCTATGGCGGCTTATAGAGTCTCCCTAAGCCGCTGTAGAAGTATATTTTACTAACGTACCTCCACCATTGGTGCATTTACTAAACATAAATTGTACAAATTAATATTAAACAACCTATGTGCATCTGTTCTGCTGTAATATTCAATAACTTTTTTGCTGAGCCGACTTACAAGTACCTACGCCCAAGTTTGAACAATCGAAAATAACATAATACCCCGATCACATGCTATACGCTGTCTTGCAATGAGCACTCATACATCTAGTTTTCACTGGAAATCCTATGTATGAGTGCTCATTGCAAGACAGCCTATATTACGTGATATAGGCTGTAATGTGAACAGGGTATAAATCAATAAGTACATAAAAGGGATTCCAGATGGATAAATAGAAAAAAAAATTAATAATGTGTATAATTTGTATGCACCTGGAATTTTTTTCATCCGACCTGGAAAAACCTGGAAAACTCAGGGAATTTGATTCCTTGGATTGAGTAGACACCCTGTTTGTGAACTTCGTGAAATATCGCGAACTTTTCCAACACTGAATGGCACTTTGTTCTAGTAGGGGAAATGGATGTAATGTTGTCCTAAATGCCCCTAATTTGGGCCCATACATTAATTCAATAATCGACTAAATTTTCAATAGCGACCAAAAAATATCCATTAGTACCGTCCCAATGACGCATTCATCTAGATTAAATTGATAAATAGCAGATTTTTAGCGATGGGGCCAAGATTAGAACCTTTTTCCTATGTATAATAAATTCACAGCCTCCCCGAAAGTCTTTTATTAGATTAATTGCTTTCAAACGACTGAAAGTTTCGATAATAAAGAAAACTAAACTAAACTGATTGCATTCAAGTTATTCGCAGAAAAAAAGAACCGTTGCTCAGCCATCAATTTCTTTATCAGTCATAATACTTTCCTTTCTATGTACACACATGCTCCATCAGTCACATCATCAATTACTCACCACATCTTCAGGCAGTTTAGTGACCAATTGAGTCAATTACTTATTGCGAATTTACCCTCACAAACTGACAATCACTCACAGACACACTCCCAAAGAAAGCCTACTTCTTCGGCGTTCCTTTATCAGTTAAACGCCAACGACACCCAGCTTACTACGCTTGTTCTGACAAACCTAGAGTGATAAGAATTTCACGTTCCTCCACGCTTTAAGGCCCAAACGGAATGGAAACGGCAAGTTTGACAGTGGTCACAGATTACATCAAGATGCCTAACCGATGTCGATTTGGTTCTAACTAATTTTCAATTCGACAAGTAGGCTTATTCAGATTGGGTTTTTCCGCTGCCGCTGCCATTGCGCTGGGCCTTTAAGCTTAATCGTAACTTCTAGAGATAACAGTTAACCACTTTCCTGGCCGTGTTTACTTGTGGTTTTAGATAAAAGCGGGGCTTAGTCATTTCGGTGATGACCGATTAGATGCTTCCTTAAACGTCGTAAACGTGGCAACAATTGGTCTTCACGGTCGAAATTTCCCCCGTCTCTTTTCTAATGAGTGCAAATTAGTGCACTACTGTGATCCTTCAACTCGAATTATGACTGAGTGCCAAGTTCCGCGGTCAACGTCCTCCCCGGTCATGGATTGTCATTACCATCGCGCAGCGTGATCTTAATTAATTTTGCCTCTAGACTGCGGTATATTGAATCATAAAAATAAACCACCGGCTATTGCTCCTGCGATAGCACATCATCGGTTGGAGATTTTCGCTGCCCACTATTCATCATCATCTTCAAATCTAATCAAATTAACAGCACCATCCGAAAGTGTGGAAGTTAGCAAACTACATTCACTAAATCGCTTCGAATCAATTCATACACGGACTGCCACTGGCATTAGTTGATAGGTTGGACATATCGAGTGCGTTTAGTAGGAAATGCGTGGGTGCTCCGGGCTGATCTCATCTCAGAAACAGATGCTAGCCGACGGCAGCAGCGATGGTTGTGATTTATGTGAAGTTATATTACTACGCCTCAAACCCCATGCACTTGGTGCTGCACCATTTGCTCGTTCGCTGGCAAATGTATATCACCAATCGAGCGTAAATGTGTGGAAAAATGTTTATTGACCCAGAGAACGTATGTACGTTTGTGTTTGCTTCGATCAGAACTGCAACAACAAACATTTGCATTGTTGGAATTGAAGTCATTACAAGATACAAAAAAATATTTGACGTGTCAAGGTAGTAACGTAATTTTTTTTGTTTTTATTTGCAGTGGAAGCCCCGTACAACAACAAGATGCCACCATGGATAATTCATGTAAGTAATTTTTTTTATTTTGAGCTTTTTAGCTGAGCCGATTCCATCCTCTCATGAGTTTCGAACAGTTTGAAAGGGTATCGGCATTGCTTACAATAATGTATCGTAGGATCACATGTTTTGTAATTGTTAATAAATATTTGTAATTGCCAATTCAGATAACAATTAGCATTTGGTGTCAGATTATCAGCTTTAATATTGCCGTTTCAGCGAAAATAATTCGACGCGACTGACAGCCACAGCATGCTATTAAAGCTGGTAATCTGGTTGGTAATCTGACGCCAAATGCTATTCTTTTCTCTGATTTGGCAATAGCAAGCTGCGGCTGTCAGTTGCGTCGTAATATTTTCCCTGAAATGGCAATATTTGTTTTAAAACGTCATACTGCATTTAGTCACCCTAAACCGGAACAATCCAAGCATGCTATGGGTAACGCCAACATGCTGTCATAAATCGCGCGACGCTCAGCAACGGCATGTTTTGAATCAATCAAAGCCTGTCATCTGCTTGAAACAGCTTGAAACCAACCACCGCTCAGAAAGCGTTTCCCAGCATCGTCATCATTTTCAGTTTTTCACGACTCGTTGTTTAATTGCCAATCCGTCCACGAACGTTACCGAAAGCCGCATGAATGGATTATCTCCGTAATACCCCTTCACTAATTTGCCGGTATTTTTCAACAATAAATTCGATTCCTTTCAGATTCCATGGGCTTTCGCTCGCCTTCGATGAATACCCTGGCCGGACAGCCCACCAGTCCGGGTCCGGGGCGTTCCCTGCGCGAGCACGAAGAGCAGATGTCCGCGCTGAGGAAGGAAAATTTCAACTTAAAACTGCGGATATATTTTCTAGAGGAGAATGCCGGTATTAAGGCGGGAACTCCCGGCAACATTAGCGGCGGCAGCGGTGGCAATAACACTGGAATCGGTCACGGCTCATCGACGGACGGGACGGGAGCGCAGGAGAATTTGTTCAAGCAGAACATTGATTTGAAGGTAGGTACCTAGACCTACGAACGAGAGATGATTGGGTGAAGATGTTCTGGGTGTTCTGAGGGTTTGCACTTATGGATGACGAAATTATGGGTGCGTGAATTCATTGTCCACGCTCGGCTGCATACGTGGAAACTGGGTGTGATAAAGTATAAGGAACGCTTTTGATATATGTACCACCAAAATTGGGCGAGGAGTAGCTTGTCTTCTTTTAAACTCATAGGGTAAAGGACGGTTTCGGCACCCATTGACTGTTTTCGGAAATCAAAATTTAAACGGTAATTTCACTGCATTTTATCACACACACACAACAAACTTCGCAAACGATTCTGCTCTACAAAATGCGGCTAATTTCGAGTTGCCGATAATAGAATAGTAGGTTTGACCATTCAATAATTACGTAAGCATTTAGGGGGGGAGGGTGGGTTTTCAAATTTCTTACGATCTCTTATGATGGGGGGAGGGGGGGTTCATACAAATCTTACGTAAGAAAAAGATTGTTAGTGCAGCTTTCCAAATAACAATTCTAGTATTTCCTAGAATTGCGTTTAATGTTCAATTTGCTAGTCCGTACTTCTGACAGTAATCACCATTACCCGAGCAGGAGAAAATAACTAATGAATACCTAATTCTGATCTGGTACCAAAATTTGGTATTGACCAGCATGACATAAGAGGAAAAATACCAAAGAATAATACCAACAATGGTGGGGTTGTGTACAAGACACGACCGCAGGGTTGACGTAGACTACTTTAAGCTGTGTAGTGAAATTCTCGTGCATTTTTTCTAGATATTGATTTAAAATACAGTAGAAGTAACCTATGATTTCGGTCCTATGTACATATTTTGGATTTCTTACTCAGTAAAACTTGGTTAAATTCAGGACCTCATAAAAATGCGAATATATATTCATACATAAAAAGAGGTACCGTCTGATAATTTATCCTTTTTATCACCACAGAAACACCCGTGTTCTTATGCAAAATAATGAATGTGTGTTCACAAAACGCACGAAATCTTAAAAAAACCATATTAAGATATAATGAGATATAATCTCTTTTCAAGTCGGGTCGGGTCACATTCATCAGGATTCATATTAAGATTTTTTTAATTCCATCAATAGATTAAAAATGTACCGAGAATTAAATGGAGGGATTTCAAGCTTAAATGTTCTGATAGCGAAATATTGACTACCAATACCGAAATTTCACATGAAGGTCCAACCTAAACAGCCTGAATTTATAAAGAGGCAACTAATTTTACTTCCAAGGCTGTGTCGCAATGGGTGAGTTGAATTTAACTCGTGGTTAAATGTGACAGATGAGCTATCGAATAACCCTGCTATACGAGCGTGGTTATTTCGGACTGACTAGAAGTTAAATTTTGGTACCCGTGGCTGAGTTCTGTTTGAAAACTGATCAATTTCCGGCATTTTCGAACATTGAAAATAACTTACGAAATGTCATGTTTAACCACGAGTTAAATTTAACTCGGCAATTGGTACACAGCCCAAGAAGTATTTCTCGATTACTTTTTCGAAGGAACGTATCAGCACAAACTCTTTGCACACTGTCAAAGAATCATTGTACACAAAATCAACTTTGTGCAAAACCAAAACAAAAATACTATCCCATCTGGTGGATGATGGCACAAGCTTCTAAGAAAATTCTATTACAGCGAACCACATTATTTTAATTGATTTCTTCGCCAGTTAGTCGTCTGTCACTTCGTTTGTGGTATCAGCTTTTGTAAACAACGCATTTGATTGTCGATTTGGCGCAACTGGTAGCTCGCCCACGCATTCTAGTACTACCATCAGATAGGGGAAAATTTTCCTAAACTGTTAGCGGTGTTAGCAACAATCAATACGAAACTAACGATTTTAAATTGGCTCACCACTTTAGTAGCCTATTGGTCCCAAGCAAACGATTAACGTACCCTATTCTAGTTGAAATTCTATTACTACACTATGTTTGTTTTGATTCGCTATGAAAGTTTGACAGATAACATCAGGGGTGTGTGGATTCATGCAGAACATGCAGGGGTGAGTGAAATAGCTTGGGACTGCTTGGGACCGTTGTTCTGGTACTGAGTGAGCCAAAAATAATAATGATTTTCTTCGGGACCCAGTGGTCTTAGAGTTACCTCTATGGTGTTAGTATGTGGGGCGAGCTATTAGTTATGCCAATCCGACGATAAAATGCGTTGTTTACAAAAGCTTATATGCCCTTCCGAAAAGTAATCGAGATTTGTAGTTATCATTCAGGCAAGGAGCTACTGCTGCTACTGCTGCTGCTACCTGCTTACCCGCCGTCCGAAACGAAAATGAGTTGAGGCACATTAGCAGCGCTGTTTTATAACTTTTCTGATTCAAGCAGCACGATGTGCAACCAAATTGTACTTGATTATGAGGACTGGGTTTGGGGAGAACGGTTATTTCATGAAAACAGTGATAAAATTATCACTTTTGTCCATTTTTTAAACAGATTTTTATGAAAAATTGAAAAAAAAAGTTTATTGCAACAGCTTACGAAAGGTATTTCCTATCGATTGGTGTGTTCGGATTTTAATTTCATCTAAAAATGACAAAGCTTATAGCGTTCAAAAAATAACACCTTTTCGTGACGGTCGCAATTTTAGATTTTCGATTTACCCCCAGTACCTTCCCGTAAGACGTAGTCTACGTCAAAAAAAAACAAAATATATTTATTTTATCACCGCAAGAAGCAATATTTGAAGAGACATCGAAGATACCTATGTAAAATTTGAATATCCTAACTTTCACCATCAGCTTAAGCGGAATTAAGCTTACCGCCACCGCCGAAAAATTCACGTTTATATTTTTCTGAAAATATTGGAAAAAAGATACCAAAAATCTGTAAAAACATCAGTTTTTCTCCGCAAAATTCAAAGGAAACTGACGTATTACAATTTTTTTTCTGTATCTAAAAAAGTTGGATATAAAATATCGAAAAAATCAGATTTTTTAATTTGTTTTATATCCAACTTTTTTAAATAATGAGATAAAAAAATGTTTTATGTGTAAATTTTCTTTGAAATCTACGAAAAAAAAACGGATGTTTTTGAATTTTTGATATTTTTTTGAAAGAATTTTAGAAAAAATAAAATGCACGTCAAGGTCGATTTCTACGGACCCGGCGGTAATCTTCCCGTTAATGGATCGTTTATTAATAATGTCATCCACTCTTCCAGTTTACTAATGCTCTAAACAATACATCAATAATGAATACCAATACGTCAAGGACTATTACTATTATAAATCGTTTTTTTTTTTACCTGGTATTTGATTTTCTAAAACCTTGCTCGAAACTGACTGATATCATAACAATATGGCGATTGTTTTGTTGGTTACGTCGAGAGTTGCAAGTTGTTTTGGTGTGATAGAAATTGATCGATTTAAGTACATAGTTTTGTAATTTCCGTAATTTTTAAAACGTTTTTGTCTTGTTATCGTTTTTTAAACGGTATGTCTAAACGAGGGGACCTACACATCAAGCTGCAGCGGGCTTTTAAGGAAGCTCATTCGGAATTTTCAGCAGCTGTTGCACAACAAAAAGCGAATGATGTTTGGCGAGAAATCAAAGAAGCCAATAAATCGTTTGACGACTTGCAAAATGCAGTCAGTATCAAAATTCAAATAATTGAAGCAATGAAACTGAGAAAACGCAGCAGTTATGCGTTATTTTTCAGTAAAGTAAGTAACAACACATACATTTTAACATATCTCATTTACCTTATACTGTACGTTTATTTTAAATCAGGCTGCTTCAACTGATCGGTGAAGTTCTTTTTGCCTTTTAAATGGTTGTTTAAATAAAAAAGTGTTGTTTTGATCACCAAAAAGCCGATTCTTTCGAAATACCGATCTTAGAAAAAAAAAGTTGGTAAGATCTTACAGGGGGGGAGGGGTGGTATTGAAAAATCTTACTATGTCTTACAAGGGGGGGAGGGGGGGGGGGGTCTGAAATATTGGAAATCATGCTTACGTAATTATTGAATGGCCCCTAACACGCAGTTCAAATGGAAAGATTGCCGAAGAAAAAAAAAGATTTCCAACAACAGTCACACTCACCTGAGAAGTTTGGAGCGTTGTAAAAACATTTTCAAACAGTTTCGGACAATTTATTCGGATAGAGTAGCAAGCAGCAAATAAATGTAAACAAACAAACACGTCAAATGCGTGCGTGACGCTGATAAAATGCTAATAGAAGCACGGACGTTGTTCTGACTGACGAGAATACGTAAGTTCCCCTACTTAAAAATTCAAAAACTCAGACCGTCAATTCTTCCCTCCCCATGGACATGGAGGTTGACGGTACTGAAGCAAAGGGTTATGTTTCAGTCCGCATCGTGCTCTCTTGCCGTGCGGATCTATTTGCTTTTTGCTTAAGGAAGTGTTACTACTACCTAAAGCTACAACAAATTTAAACAGCACTTTTCAGTGCTAAACCTGTAAAAATTTTCTACCTTGTTCAACTCCTCTTATTCCTCTTCGATCCTTGTTTGGACCCTACCCGAGGTAATCCTTCTTGGATATCGATTTGGAAAATTCCTCTTCGATCCTTCAGATTCTTATAGTAATCTGCTTGGAAGTCGATTTGGATAATCGCATAATCGCACTTTTCAGTGCTCAACCTGTAAAAATTCTCTACCTTGTTCAACTCCTCTTATTCCTCTTCGATCCTTGTTTGGACCCTACCCGAGGTAATCCTTCTTGGATATCGATTTGGAAAATTCCTCTTTGATCCTTCAGATTCTTATAGTAATCTGCTTGGAAGTCGATTTGGATAAAAATTTACTGCCGCCATGGCGCCTAAACGCAAAAGAAAGGGGCAAACTCTTGACCCCCCTTCTGATGAAATTAATTTGAGTAATCAATTTGATTTGCTCACGGATGATGAGAATGATCCATCATCCAAGAAAAATTCTAGTAAACTTTCCCGGCTTAATGCCAAGAAGGAAAAGATTCCCCCTATTGTGAT